ATTGCATTGCTATAGCCGCATAATACAAAATATATACATTTATATATTTATCCTCCCATAGGTTAGTCTAAAACTCCAATTAATTATCTTAGTCGATTTTTTACCTTGAATACAAGTTTTTGTTAAGTTAAAGACTAATATTTTGATTTTTGCATCATTTCTAATTCATCCTATAGTTTTTTCATTCATATTTTCTATAACTAAGATATTATTTAACTCTTCTGGATGTTTCAATCCGTGTATAATTATGTGTATTTATATTTAAATAGGTATGCTATAGTTATTAAAATAAGTACCAATAAAAACTTTTCAATTAAAATAACCAAAATAAATTTATTCAATCATTGTTTGTTTTTTCGTTATAATTATTATGAAAAGAAAAAAAATGATACGTCTTAATCAAAACAACAGCTGTTTAATTCCAAATGTTCATTAATAGACCAAGTTTTAACTTATAATAATTATAGGTAAATAATTATTATTATAAGCTACGTTTCACAGACTGTGCATTTGTCAGTCGTAGGTACTGAATGTGAAATCACAACTATTAAAATATCCAAGGACAATTAAAGAGTAGCAAACAATTATCAGGCAGTTCTAACTAACCTTTACATTTTCTGAACCTGTTTTGCAGGAAAAAATACTGAAACATTTTATCATATGACTTGCGTGAGTATTAACATACATGGCTTAATTATGATAAAAAACTGATATTTAAGTAAAGTAGAATTTTGATCACGTTTATAGTTAAAACAGTATTATTATATGATAAAAACATTTTTTTTAGATTCAGATTTTAGAATGAATTATCATATTTTATTAACAGTTATTACTTTATTTTTATCATACAAGAAGCTTTGGAAATGTAGTTCTAGAGAAAGATACAGAGAATAAAATGAACTGAAAAAAGAACAAATTATAACATCTTAACCACAATAGGAAAAAAGCGATAATTGATTGACGGAGAAGGCGATGACAGATAATTGGACATACATTGAGATATGGAGACGAAACGCATAAGTAGTCTAATAATTTCAGGGATGATAGAAATAACATGACCAAGAAAAAAACCTAGAATAAAATTCATCAGCCAAAAAATAAAGGATGTTGGTTTCACTTCCTACAAGGTGCTAAAAGGCATGGCGAAAGATAGAAAAAAATTGGAAACGCATTTTTTATAATTATATTTAATGAAAACCAATTTTAGGATAGAAAAAAAAGCAGTTATGAGGAGAATTCTATTAGTTACAGAATTTGCTGATTTGTACGATATATATATATATTCATAAATAAACTATTTATCAACATTTTTTAAGAAATATTTTTTAAAAAAGTAATAAAGAGGGTATAAAAAAAACGTTCTAAGTTTAAATAAATAACAACATATCTATACCAAACAAATAATATTATAAAATTGTGCTTTGTAAATCAAAGTTTGAATACTTATAAAATTGTTACAGCCAAAAACGTAGTGCATAGAATGTTTTATATGAAATATCTAATTATATATAATTAAATTAATTAATTAATTTATGTATAAATTATACATAAATATCTATTAAATCGAATTTTACGAATTCCTAAAATTCAACTACGTCATCGTTTAGCACGCAATTAGCATGAATTTGCACGACTCTGAAATTCGAAATATGTCAAAATTGCGAAAATATGCAAGTAATTCTGTAGTTAAAAATTTTTAAAAATTTTTTTATTTAATACTAAGAATTTAAAATTCAATAGAAGGTTTCCCATAAGTTAAGCTTAGAGTAATTATAAAAACGATTGAGGAATATCCAATTAAAAAAATCTTACAAGTGTTTAAATTTTCACGAAATCAAAAATTCACGCGTAAAATAACGATTTACTATCAATGGAATTTTGATTTTTGTTATAATTATATGGCAATATACTTTTTCTTTATAGTCACTCTATAATACTAGAATACTTATAATAATATAAGGAAATATAATAATTACATGCAATATTATCGGAAAAATTTGATTAACCATGCCATCCATCAGCACCGCCCGTTAATTTTTGCGATTCCGGAGAAATTTATGACATGCATATTGCGAAATTAGTCATGCAAATTCGTGCTAATAACGTGCTAATTATTGATAGTAAAAAAAATTAAACTTTCCTAATGGGCGGTGCTGGCACGTGTCTTATGGGTCTTTACGTATACCCGAGGTTGCTATGGCACTTGAGCTATGAAGTTAGTATACCTCTGTTGGTCAAAGCAACCCATTTATTATTGTGCAAAACTGAGTGCTTTATCAATGTTTTTCCTATGTGATGATGCTTTCCAAACTGGGCATGCGTATTCAGCGGCTGAGTAGCTTAGTGCTATGCTGAGGTTCTCAAAATGTTTACATCTGCACCCCATTTGGAGTTTATAAATTTCAGTAATATGGTGTTCCTGATGTTGACTTTAGCTCAAGTGTTCTCGCAGTGTTTTTTTTAAATGTTAGTAATCTATCCAACATTACACCCAGATATTTTGGGAACTTAGTGTGTTCCAAGGGCATATCAACCCATTCAATTTTTAGTTTTATATTTGCATTTCTATTTTTTAAGTGAAAAAAACAAGTTTGCGTTTAATTAGGTTTCGGTTTTAACTGGTTTTCTTTGTAGTACGTAGACATCTTTTTCAAGGTGAGTGTCAGAGTCTTTTCTACTTTTTCAAACGTTTATTTTTGGGAGGAAATTGCTAGGATATATGCATACAGGAAGTATTTTGTATTTAGATTCGTTGGATTGTCATTTATGTGTATGCTAAAAATAATTAGTGCTAACATGCTACGTTAATTTTATGCCTACGAGTAAAGTTAGTTCGTTAACTTTTCGTTTTAATTTCCTAAGATTTATTGTGTCGTAGGCTGCACATAGATCTACAAAAACAGCCCCTGTAATTTTTTTCGTTTCAAACTCGTACTCTATACGCTGTGTTGGGTGCAATACCTGAATTGTATAACTCTTTCCTGATCGGAAGCCGGCTTGTTCGCTGATCATTTTTTTGTTTATAGTCGGCATAAACGGTAGTTTTTAACGTATGACAGAGAAGGACGATATGTTTGAAATGTTTCATATCAGTTGGTGTCTTTCTTGGTTTTAGTAATGCAATAATATGAGTCTTGTGCCACATTTCGAGAATTCGCATTTGATCAATACAAACATTACACATATTTAGGAGTCATTCTCGGGCTCGAGGTCCCATATTTTTAATTTGTTCCATTTGAACATCATCAATTCATGCTGCTTTCCCTTTTTTCATAATTTTTATTTAGTTTTCAATTATGAAATGGACATCAAAAAGGTTGGTTTCGTGACTCGTGTCTCTTATTATTTTTTGCTGGCTATTTGATTTTAACTTTGCAGTATTTAAGGAGCAGTTGGCTAGCAACCTCAATTGCATGACTATATTTACATGATAAATTGGTACTTTATAAAGTAGGTAGGTAATTATTAATAATTTACATGACTGTTGAATAAGTCTAAAATTAATAATATGAATTTCAGACTTAAGTTAATTATAAAAATTATGAAATTAGAAAGTCAAAACTATTTATTCATAGAATAAATTGATAACAATTATATCTGTATCATAGTCGTGAAAATGTAAACATTTACCTTTTAGATAAAATATATAAATAAATATATATGGGTAGAGCCACAGTATACTTTTTTATTACCAATATTAGCGATGATTCTCTTGATGATGTGTTTAAAGTACGCAAGGATGATTTGATTCCTCGTATAGTTATTGAAATGATTTGGCTCACTTGTACCGATCAAATAGATGCCGACTAATTAAAATTTAATACACCGATTACTAATATGATAATCATGCGAGGAGTAACTTTGTGATCTCTAAATATAAGTTAATCGTTAGCTACCAATAGAATCTTCAGTGTCTCACGTCATATGTGATGACAACAGAAACACAAAGCATTAACAAATTAATCAAAACAGTAACAAAAATATTTGTACTCCCTATATTCAGAGTTATACTCATTGCGAATCAATATTATTATAAATACATTTATGAAGAACAACGATATAATATATTGGTATGTTTTGAAGTCTAGTCACACTGTATTGGTAATAAAAAAATATATAAAATTTAAGTTAAAAAAACTAAAAAATAACGTTGAATACGAGTACTTTCGTAAGACATACAGGACGATAGTATTTGATGAAGTATTTGAAAATGCTTATGAACCATAGGTCCCATATAGACAGCAAATGTTTTTCCAGTCGATGCTAGATAATTAAAATAATAAATAAAATATTTATATAACGTAAAACTAATTTATTACATTATTGGAAATAAATACACAATAAAAAAGAGGTAGGTAGTGACTTGTAGAATGTACCTACAGTTATTTACACATACGTCATGACGTGTCGTATTACTTCCGTACATTTTTCAATCTTTTTTTATACTGTTAACAACACTTGGATGTTATACAATAAATACGTAATAAAATGAATTGCAAAATAATTAAAACTCAATTCATATCAATCGTATATTAACATAGTCAAATAAGTCAAATGTGTAACTGGATTTGTATTTTTTAATTTTTAATGTCATAAGATATATTATTATCTCTCAATATGTATCAATATTAACACCTATAAAAATAGAAACTGTATGTGAGTGTTGCTAAGTTACTTAAATATACACACAAACATACACATTACAACTGTAATATTCAATTTAAACAATGCTTAGAATAGATTAAAAAAATGTACATACTACATTACATAATACAAATGAGTGTATAAAATATGGTAAATTAACAAAATTTACCTATAATTTAATAACTGAAAAATAATCAAAAATCAAATAGTATGCAATATATGTATTCAATACGGTAATTATTATTGAGTATTGTAATTATTATAAACTTTTAAAAAATAATTGAATAAGATTTGAACATAAATATTTAAATTCAATAATAATTAATATAAAATAGATTTTAATGTTTAATAATCTCAAACGATAACTAAACGGATGGAGAAAGGTTGAGAAAATTTGAGAAGAAAATATTTTAGGCAATCTGTAGGCTAGTTTTCAAACGATATTTTTCAGCTTTACAGTTTTTATTATCAAATCTATGTATATTATTCATAATATTTTAATATATGTATTTAGTAAATAAGTAGATAATATAGCTGTGTAGGAATTACTTTCGAGAAAATTTCTGTCTCGAAAGGACATGATATAATTTTAAATATTCTTATAACTATTAATATATTCAGAGAGTAAATTTTGACAATAATTTCAATAATCAGTCATGTTGTGAGCAGCGAGAAATTCTTTAAATGAGCCCGGCTAATTTGAGAAACAAACTGATAAAATTCCATGCACAGAATATCAAGAAGGCATATACAAATAGCAACAATGCATTGTGTGCAATGTATAATCTGAAAATATAAAACAATTAATTAGTACAATGTATAAACAAAAAATTGATGATTAATTTTTATCTTTAATTTATGTATTTCTAAATTGTATTTCTTACTTTTCCCATTTTTTCCTGGCTGCAGGCAATGTGTGGATGTCATCTTTAACTAAATAAACTCTTAAACCAAGACAATGTGCTTGACTAAAGTATTCCCAAGACAGTTGATTTATGTCAAAGTTAAATAGTTCTTTATCTTGGCTACTGAGTGTTTCCCATAGCGCCATTAACCTATGGTTGGTGAACGTCCATTCTTTGTCGGAGAAATATGCTAATATATCTCGTACTTTATCAATCTTCTTATAAATTTTAAGTAATCTGTTTGAAATAAAAATAAATTAATAAATTGTTATTTAATTTTATCAAAATATTTATCATAAAAAAAAAAAGTGATCTTTAAGAATGTAATATTTAAGATAGCCGTGTACTAGTAGTAGTATAATATCGTACAAAACAAGTACTCTAGACTATAGTTCATAATAGACATAATATATATATTCATGATGTATATTGTGTAAATATTACGTACATTGGTTTTTGTCCAGCCAGAACAGCTAATGTGTCCAGTATGTACCCAGGAACGATGTGGCATAAAAAATTTAATAACGCGTAAAGGAATGGATTGTTGGTAGCCCAAAACGAATAATACCAGATTGCTCGAATAGTTGGCCAATAAATTCCATGACGTCTGTTCATCTCTATGAACTCATTCCATTTAACTGGTTTTTGTTTCGAGCTTGAACATGTGTATATCGGTATTTCGTCTACTTTTCTGTAAATGAAACACAACATTGCTTTGTTACATTTAGTGTACATTGTAAATTTTGTAACACTGTCTGTGGGTATAATTATTACAAGTGTTACATAATGTGTACCACAAGGATTTCAATTTGAGTAAAATTTTAACGCATACCTATGTTTTACATTTTTCATATACTTTTATAATTTATTGTAGAATACATTACATATACGATTTGTGTGTTTGAATTTTGTATTACCATACGTAAAAACATGAAGGGTTTTTGCTAAATTTATACTATTATCTATGATTATTAATAAAAGGCTTACCTAATTTTTATTTTATGTTGAAAATCAAAAATAAAGTAAGAAATATTCTACCAAACAAAGTTATTTCAAAAAATAATTATATTGGATCGCAAGTATATACAATAATACAGTAGAAAAATATTAAATTGAAGCGAGATTTATAAATATTTACGTTATGGTTCGATTTTCGATCTTGATATGTTTTAATGAATGGTCTTTCTTAAAATAAAAATTAATTATTTATTTTATTTATTAGAAATATATAACCTAATAAAATAAATCAGATTATTTCACAAACAATTTGGCAATTTGAAAATAAATATAATTGATTGGTAACATTATTACAGCTTTTAATTAATACCATATAATGTAGAATATACAAGATATATTTAATTGTAGAGAACATGTAGTTAAATTATCACTTTTATATGGCAATACACAAGGCCGGCGAGAACTTTTGATGGCCCCGGGGCTGATCGGTACTAGGCCTCCTTTACTTACACTTATTTGGCTAAGATATACATACTATTTGTACATACTTTTATATACTTGAGTGTAATAAAAATATTTAAATTAGCATCTTATCCTACAGAAAATGAGATTATAAAATAAATTTGTTTATAAAGCTGAAGCTGTGACGACGGGCCCTTTTGGAGGTACGGTCCCCGGGGCACTAGCCCATCCTACTCCACCCTCTTATCAGCCCTAGAAATGTATAAATATAAATACATTTTATCATAAATTATAATATTTGAATATTAAAGGAATACAATTAATTATGTAATGTAAATATACTAAAATATTTATTTTACAATAATTTACCTATTTGTGGCAGTTTCTTTTGTAGCACTAATAAGAGCATTGACAACCATGTCAACCGGGATCATGTCAGTAACTACATTGGTATTACCAAAGTATGTATGAAGGACTCCAGTACCAGCTCCAACTACAAGGCCCGTAGGACCATATACATTATCTATCCAACCTCTTACTGGTTCTCGATAAGTAGCAATCACTGTAGATATACAAAATATGTATTAGTATAATATAAACCAATTAAATAACGTTCATATAATTTTTTTTTTAATTTCATGTACAGACATTGATTATAATTTAATTTGTATTTATTTTATTTTCATTTAGGTACCATCAATGGTATAACATATTGCACTGGTAATAAATAATTTCAAATATATCGAATAATGTTTTGATTTAAATTAATATGTATATGTCTATAATATAAAATTACATTAATGTAATTTAACCTACTTACCAACAGTTGGTCGGAACACCAATATTGGAAGGTCTTGTGCTTCTCTTCGGATCGCATCTTCTGCCAAGGACTTCGTAAACGCGTAAGTGTTTGGTAAATCTCCAATAAGTCTTAAAATTATTATTAGTATAGTGTGTAATTATATATTATAAGGAAATGTAGTTTTTACTTTTTAGTCATATCTTGCAGTGCTTGATCGTCGGTAGAAGCTACCAACTTTAAAATGTCTTCGTAGTCAGAAATAGGGTCGTAAAATTGTTCATCGACTTGTGATCGATTACAGTTAGCGTACGCCGTGGATACGTGTGCCATTACCTAAATACGATTGGAAGATCTCAATAACTTCATATAATATTTAATTGTGACTTGAAATGTATTTTATGCGTGCGCTTTTAATTTTCATTACATGCATCTGTTTTTAACTAATAATGTATCACTTTCATTTCGATAGTACCAACAATATTAAGTCATAAAAAATTATACTTTAAGAATCTGAGAATCAATTACAGAGACTAATAACTTGTATTGCATCGCGACCCATTATATGAAAATTTCTTCAAAATTAGCAAACCACATAATTATTAATTGAAGTCTTATAACTATTGAGATAAAAAATGCTATTACAAAATATAAACAAAATGTTTTCGAACAAGTACCAAGGGCCTAAGAATGGTTAGATAACAAATTGATTTTTACCTAACGTATTTAAGTAAAATCAATAAATGAGTACATCATGAATTTATGTGGTTACAAAATGCATAACTTTTACTATTCATAATTTGTACTTTGCTGTTCGCCACTCAGAAATTACGAAACAATTCTTTATTGCGATGTTACGTAGGCAATAAAATGCACAGTTTATTTTACATATCATATAAAATAAATACAAATAAAAATGAACATGCTTACTCAAACGAACGTTAATTATAGTAAAACTTGGTGAAGCACATTCTCTCATGTTGATTTCATTCATAAATTTAATCGAACAAATAAAATTATGAATATTTTTGTACAATACTAATGAATAATAATGAATAATATTCACGGAAATAACCTACAGCTGTATAGTATATTTGGTTTCATTTTTTTGTTTTTGACATTAGATCTTTAAAAATATTTATAAAATAAAATAAATAGCTAAAAATATTTAGTATTTATAAAACACTAAAATAAGATTGTTTATATACTTTTTAGTACGAGACATAAAATTCAAAATTATTTATTGTATGGTCTTATTGGTATAGTTCATGACTATTTGTACAACATCAGAAGTATTCCAAAAAATATGTATGAAGAGAAAAAAATCTTTGTAAAATTAATATTCATAATCGAAAATAAACAATTCCATACTCATACAAATTTATTGTTTATTCATTTGAAGTATGAACTATAAAATCACATGCAAAGTTAATAATCAATATTATTAAAACTTTTAAATTATTTAAATTTTACCTTCAAGTTTCTTATTTTCTTTGCCAGGTTTAATAATTCTCTTGTTCCTGAAACGTTTATATTCATTGCTACACGAATGTGTTCATCAAAACGGACGGTAGCAGCACCATGAAATATAATGTTCACTTCATTGATCAATGTATTACGACTGCTGACACTTAGCCCAAGACCTGGTAAACTACAATCACCTGCTACCCCAGAAACTTTATGATAATACTTAGGCACTTCATATTTTAATCGTTTGAAAAGCTGAAATCAGAAATAAATACTACTTTATGTATATATTTGTATTTCAAAAATGTGTGTATTTACTATTATTTTATAAATTATTCCTTTTTGGATATTTGGTTTGTTTTCACTCACATAACAAATTAATTTCTACTGTACTGATGTTTTGGTTAATATTATTATAATTTTTTAATAATATATCCAATAGTGTACACAATCACAAAGTTATTACACAATAATCATAATTGATATATTTTATTAATCAAATAATTCATTGGTATTGTAATACAAAGTTAGAGCTGACAAGGTAAACATTTAAAGGACAAATCTAAAAAATAGCTAGTGATAAAGATTTATATCTACCTAATAGTTTTAAATTATTATAATGTTTAAACCATGAAGGGCAAGTGTAGGATGCAGTAGATTATATTTTATCAGATAAAAATGATTAATTTGTAGATTATGAAATTTGTAATGTTTCCTAATATTTTAAAATGTGTTGTATATGTGTGTGTATTGTACCATTAATAAGTTAATGATGTTATTTACCGAGAATGTCATTAATATGTTACGCATTTAAGGGAATAAGATTAACAATATTTAATAGTCATAATATGTTTAATCGTTTTAGTTTTAATAGTACATAAGTAATTGCAAATGTATACAAATGTTTTTAAAAAAAAATATTTCAAAATTATCAAGACTTTTATAATTATATTTTATTTTATCTTATAAAGAATACCTTAATCTAACCAAACATAGAGCCTTCCAAATTACATGTTACACTATCTAATTGTAATAAAAGAAAGAATAAATTACATTTTTGAATTGTCAAATGTGAATATAAACTGAATAATTTTTCGATTAATTATTATACTAATAAAAAATAGGAACGCTTATAAATGATCGGTAAGTCTTACAATTCATATAATTTAGAATACTTTTATATTTGAATCGGAGCGTAAACCATAATATGAAATAGATTCTGTGGAAAATATTTTGGGAATCGCTGTACTATAAATTATAACTTTTTTAATCGGATTGTCCGTCGATCGTATTGCCATAACAAAGATAACTATACGTAAATTGTTTACGGTTTGAGGTTATTTTGTATTTATTTAGTTCTGTTATTTAATTCACTTGTTAATTTCCACATTTTGTTGAAAAACACGCATAAGCCAATGAGTGTACATAAATTATTTTGATATAACATATAATAAAGATGACTTAACTAATAATACAAATATTAAACTATAATAAAACGGTTTATAAATTATATACATATGTGTATAACAGATATTATAAGTTTAACAGCAATTTTTAAATAATATTATTTTTATAAATGTAGAATAAAACACGTAATTGTAGGAACCAATTCCCAAGTCAGAGTTTAACGTTAAATTTATTTCATTTTAAATACTAATTACGGATGTTTATTTAAAATATTTGTGTAAATGAAGTACAATTATTTAAAAGCATGTAAAATAGGGTACATAATATATAAATAATTATTTTGACGGGGATTTTCCTAAAAATTTTTGGAAAAATATAATTGGAACATAAAATTTAAAACTATTTATATGAAGTCCAAATAAACATTCTAGGATTACTTTTTGAAGCACGTTACTGTCATGTTCCTGAAAAACTATTTAAGTCATAAAACTGGTTTTATAGTTCTATGATGGTTTGTGCGTAGTTACAAATAATATGGTATATTGCGTTTAAGGAATTGTTTTAGACCTCCAATGGAAGTTACTTAAAAATTTTCCAGAGTTTCCTTGGATCGTTAATTTTACATGACTGTAACATTCTTTTGTACAGTGGGTATTACCTCCAATCTTCAACATACTTTCTAAATCATATAGCTTGATAATTATCCTTCATCATTTTTGGTTATACTGTACAATACTTTAAATTATAATCACACAGAATCAGTAATCTCATTTCCTATACATTGTTATATGTATGTATAGGTAACATGTTTTTATGCGTCTATATTTTAATTCACGACCACATTTTTTATGTGCCCATTATATCCACCCATCTTGCATTGTCACGGTCGCCTGCAATAACATTACTAGTTTGATGTGTTTTGTCTAAGTTTACCCACTTGTTTTGTGAAAACTAGTTTGATATATAAAATATCTTGTTTAGCATACAACAACTACATTTCCTATATGTCTTACTTAATATGTTTTATAATCTATAGTATGTATTAAAATAAGATATATATTTGTAAACAATGTAAGTGTATTAAGTGCATTTAAATACAATTCAGTAATACATTTAATTGAAAAACATTTAAAACGTTCCCATATTTACAAAAATTAAAAATTAAATTTTCGAACCAACGTTCCTTTAATTTAGAATTTTTAGTAAAATGATTTATGTATAATATTTCAAATATTATTTGATAATATTTTAATTTCTAGACAGAAAAAACCCACATGTAAAATGTAAACCAAGCTCGGAAAAATTGAATAATGAAACTCAATTAGCTATTTGAAAACGCATTTAAATTACTTAATATACAATTTTTTGAATATTTATCTCAACCACCACCCAAACAACATACATCACAAAAAATAAAACTACCTATAGTATAAATCAGTATAAAGAAATAAAAAATTAAATATTTTTTCAAATTTTCACTTTAGTTTCATTTTTCCCTTAGTTGTGTCCACAAACTTCTTAGTAACATTATTTCTGGAATTAGGGTTATTTTTATTTACTAATAATACACGTGAAAACAGAACTCTAAAACAGTTTAGATAGATGCTATTTATAGTCGACAACTACTGTAATATTTTATACCTATATATATAACATTTAAGGAATAATTAAAAAAATATTTTTATTCATATCTATTGTTCAAATAAAATCTGTTTTGTAATTTTAACAATAGAAAAAAAAAATATTTACGTACTAAACAATATCAGTTTAAAATAGATATACGGAAAAAAAATTTCAAGGATATTGAATCATGGTTTCATACTGCGTATTCAAATATTATTTTGAAAAATCTAGTTATGAGATAATAAATTAAAGGAAAAAAGACTATCCTTTACAGCCATTATTACGAAAACTGGGTTCCACTTTGTTTTTTTGGACACACTATAACTTTAAAGAGATTATTCAATTGAATAAACATGTTGTGTTCAAAATCAATTATTTTCATAGAAGAGTATGTATGATTTATAGTTATATAACATGATATAATATATATTTTACTATAAAAGTACAATATAACACATTTTAAAGTAAAACAATGTATTGAATAGATTTCAAAAATAATTATTTCGAGTTCACTGACCATTGGCAGTTGACCTAAAATTAGATTTGATGAAATAGAAAGTGCCGATGAATTGTAAACACTTCCATCGAACACCAAAGAAATGCAAGGTCGCCGAGGGAGCACCTCTCTCAACGAATATTGTGCAATTGAATAAACTCGATCAGGCAACTTATAGAATGCTTGCACGCGCGTGAAATTGTTACGTTATCACATTATGAAATTTTGATAATCTCGATGTTCTATGTTCGGATTACGGTCGATACTTTGAACAATAATATTGACATCTAGTTCAAAATTGACATTGTTTTTGAGATTTTAAGCACCTGGAAAACCAGTTACTAATAGTAAACGTTTACAAACAAATTTCAAGTAAAAAAATACCTATGAAAATACTTTTTTATTTCTATCCACATTAATTTTAGCTGACCTTTATTCAAACTGAACGGTACTTGTTATTCATCACGTATGTTCATTTACATAACACATTTATGCATATTACATACATATATATGGTAAACTATAGACTATAACATATACGTAATCACATAAACACATACAAATTATACAAATTAGAATTATTCTAATTTTAAAACATTTTAATTTTTTTTTTTTTTTTTTTTAATGTAACAATGGATTAAATAGTTCTTTTCATTATAGTAATAATAGAATTTTATTTAATTGAAGTTGTTGAGAAAAAAATAAATCATCAAAATTATTCAAAATAGTCGAATAAATTATAAAATGAAATCTATGAATATATAAAACTATATTATACCAATATTTCACAATTCACAAATCAAACAATTAAAATAAATACTTGGGAGTTAAGTTTCAAGATAACCATATAAAGTCACATGTAGTTGTAGAAAACTATACAACTTAACACTATTGAGTAAACTTTTATATTAAATGACGTTTGCCTTGGTTGATTCATATCTATTGCGTGTTTTAATTATTTTTTTTATATGTATTTAATTACTTTTATTGTAGTATGAACAATTTAAGTAATTCAAATTATAATTTAGTGGACCCTATTTTATACTTCAGTAGGTACACCGTAGTAACGTAAATATAGTCATTTTTTATATATATCTCATTTAAGAAAAAAATTTAAAATCTGAATTAAACATAGCGGAACTAATACGCTATTAACCAGACAATTTTAGCATGATATAATGTAGAAATGTTCATAATCATGAAAATTATAAATAGAAAACATTTTATTATTATGTCAAGACCGTAGAGCTAATACGGCTAATTCACAGGTTAAAGACTCACACTGTCTCACATTTTTTCACTCAAAATTTTCACATCTATATAACACGGTCCCACGTCATCAACGTGACACTGTGTCATAATTGTTTGTCTAATGTAACATTTGATACTTCATGTCGAAAAACACGATGTATATATATTAAAAATAATGAAAACCCGCTTTCCAAAAGTATATAAAAATAAGTCATTAATTTTGTTGGTTAATTGTTTAGTTATAAATGTTCTAGATGAATAAAAATATTTGTGCAATTTTTCTCTAAAATAAAATGTTATAATACAACGTTTATATTTACCCGATCTTCGAATATATCTTCCATTCGTTGTTCAACGTTTTTGCCTTTTTTAGATCGAATCAACAAATAAATATGCTTGATATGAGGACACGTTCTGAGTAACTTTTCTAATAGAACCTTGCCCATAAAGCCTGTGCCGCCGGTCAAAAATATCACCCCATCACGGAAAAACTCTTGTATTGGAGTCCCAACTTCGGACTCATCAATTTCCCGTGGTTCGTTAAAACTCCGTTCACCTAAAAGCTCCAGAGGATCCACGTAGTATTTAGAATTTACAATGTCTTTAATCGGTACCAAAGGAGCACTCTCTTGTTTTTTCTCGATGTACTTCCGATGCAAATCGAGTGCCATATTGAACAATTATGAATAATATTACTGAAACAAAAACACATTTGAAATAATTTACTAGTAGATATTTTTTATGTTAGAAGTATGACTGCATATAAAAATTTAAAAAAAATTGCTTTAAATATTTGCGGGAGTGATAATTTTTAAATTTATATTGATTAATTTAATTTTGTTGACATTATTTTGCTTACTGTAATACGAGTAAAATATTTAGTTAATATATAAGTAGTTTTTAGTACATTTTTAACAAATGTAATGATATTGCAATCTATATTTTCTTATCGTTTTCAATTTCAAAATTTCTAAGATAATTTAATTTGAAATTTCAAATATTATTATCAGACTTTGATTATTATTGTACTTTCAAGACAGAAGGTCATAATAATGAACCAGTTAGTCAGTTGGCTATTGTCATAGAACATTTTATAAATATTTATTATTTTACCAAATTTTACACGGAATCTTCCGCAATAAACCTCGAGTTGCATACAACATAATAGAAACTGATGAGTAACTAATGACTTTCTTTTGGTAAATTATGTAAGGTGCATTAAAGCAGTGACGTAAACACAATTATTTAGTGTAACGCTTGATACATAATTCATAATATACAATGCGCGAAATGTTTCATCAAGTAATGGGAATTACACTCGACTAGAGCAATAATTTGCGATAACATGAGAATTTTCAAATACAACTCACTGTACTACTATTATATTTTTATTTTTTCACTCGGTTACCTTGACCCGATCGTTCTCAAAATTTCCATCTAATGATCAATGTACTCTATGTAATATTTTGAAGTGAATATCAAGTACCCAAATTAACTTGTTTCATGCTATACCTATTGTATTTTTTAAATTTTGTTTCTAAAAATACTATACCTAGTTCTTTTTTTGCCCTTTTTGTAATTTTGCGAAATTAATATTTGCAATTATATTTTAGCCAACATTTCGTTTTTACACTTAATCACCTATGATGTCCCATTTAAAATTGAATTTTACCTAATCTAACATTTTTTTTTTTTGGGTCACCTATATATAATAATAAAACGACGATATGTAATTGAATATGTTTAATATTAAAACTATTTCTACAATATCCAATGTATACTAGACCCACGAATCCACGCGGTGTATGAAGACAAACCGTCACAGCAACCCAATGTCAACGCTACTGTTATCACAATTATATTATCGATAGCATAATAATAAAAGTGATGATTTATTAAATAATGTATTGAAAAGAGGACATTTAGTATTGATTTTTCAACGATAACGAAACAAGTACAGTAGTACAATATGGTAATAAATTCATATACTACTTAAATCAATAATTGAAGTATTATATCGGAGTTCTCGTAGTACCTACTTCGAAAAATTCATCTTTTATACTCTGGCTTTCAACGAAGTTTCAGAATTTGTGATGTAAGATTTCAGTATAATAAGTATTGCAATTATTAATAATTTTAGTGATATAATTTTTCGAATTTAAAATAAAATGTTTTGAAACTGATTAAATTTAAATTTAAACAATTATTTTATCATCTTATGTAATAAATAAAAACTTACCAAAACCAATATATTGGCTTAAAATATTAACAAATATCACTTAAGTTATATTTATCATTATAATATATTAATATTTTATAGATTTATGTCATTCAAAAGGTACGTTTTTATTCCTCTCGAACTATCTATATTTTAAGCTCTTAAATTTTGATTTTTCGGTATTAGATTTTTGTGTTTAAGATAAATATAATTAGGCTTGTCATACATTCCAGTTTTAAAGGCATGTCCCGACTGATCATTCAGTTTGTCCTGATTAATAAAATCTGAGAGAAAATAATATTTAATTTTGTATTATTTAATACCCAATAAAATATACAACATATTTATTCGGCATGGTTATATACAATAAATGTATTTTTATATTAGCTAATAAATATTTAAATTACGAAATTATATACTTATTATTGTTTCCATATGAACGTTACATATAAAATAAAAAAAAGTCTTTCAATAAGATTCCTAATTTAGCTATTTCAAAATCTGGCAACCCTAAGTATAACAAAATACTTCAATCTGACGTAGTATTTATACTAACTGATAAACAATATAAATATACTGTGTACCCTGAAAAACCCTACAATGATTATTAGAAAATATACAAATAATATCTATAAAAACAGAAAATATAAGTTATAGATTTAGAAAACGCATACTTGTTTATAAAAATAACGATTTGATTCTTAATAAATTTATGAAATTAAATATATTTTATTTTATACTGAACATTAAAATAAACAATTTAAAAACAGTTATTGCTATATTAGTTTAGTATTATTGAATATTATTTTCAAAATACAATCAGAAAATGAAAATTTAATGTTCAATATCCTCATAAATCATTCAGTATTCACATGTTAAAATATACGATTTGATTTGCTGTAATATTTTTATGCACTAACACAAATACTCTTAATATTTATATCTTATATTTGTGTATATTATTATTTACTTGTGCTTGTGTAATTTTAAGTAAATAGTTTGAAATATAAAATATAAAAATATTTTTGTTCTTAATTAATAAACAAGCAAAATAACTAATTTTAATTTATAATAAAAAAGTGAAAATGTTAGCATATTTAAATGAAAATGTTGTATGAAGAATTATACTAATTAACTGATAATCTATATTAGTTCTTACCTTATCAAAACAACAATGTGTGTAGAGGAGTTTAGAAATAAACGACTTTAACGAAGTACCTATTGGAAAAGAATGACCATGAGTCCATAGACCTAGTCTCTCACACAATAACTGAATTGAAGAATTACTAGTGTTGTCTCATACACAACGAGGTCTCGGTTTGAAGGGGACCAAGGGGGGCATGGTCTCCGATTCTACAAGGTTGAGGATTTGAGTGGGCACTTGACATTAGACTTCAAATATTGTTACTATTATTATTACTATTACACTAGGTATAATAGGTTATTTTTTTTGAATAACTTAAACGAATATTGTTTATATTACTAACGTATAACATCGCAAAAATATTAATTTTCAGTTTATAGTTCGCTGGATATATAGTTCAATAGAATACCTAATACTCAGTACTCGATATTTGATTTATAATTTGTAAATTTACATCACTAATACAAAAAAAATCTATTTCGGAAGATAAGTGTAATATATTTAAATAATTTACAAAACTATTAACCTTTAACATTTATCTTCATTATTCATTATTTAATTAATCAACTTTTAATAGTGACATTAAAAAAAAAATTATACTTAATTATAATTAATTATAATCTGTTTAATTTAATTTGAATATATACAATCATTGTATATAATTTATTATTAATACTATTGAATTTATATAAATATTTACAGTTGGAACTTTATTTAACGAAATTGATGATTCTCTTTGAAAAAATACATATTTTTTCACTTAAAAAATGTGTCTAAATAATTATACGTAAAACGTCTAATAATAACGTAAACTATCAAAATAAAGTAGATTTATAATAGTAATACGCATAATATTGTATAGTAATAAGAAAATAAATAATAGTATATTAGTAGAGATATACTAAAATGTATACATAATTTCATTAATATTTTTATTATTTTTTATCAAATAATTATAAATAAATAAATAAAATAAAAATAATAAAATTAATAAATAAATAAATTTTTTTTTAGAAAAAATGTATACTTCCAGAAGTCCAGTTTTAATTTTAAGTAATTATTTCAATTTGT